CTTATCCCTTTATCACTAATATCTTGATTTAACACAAGGTATGGGTGTGTCACCTTGTTAAAGTTAAATAGATGGTTTACTGATTCTTCAATTGACTTGTGGGATTCAAATAACATGTTTATTTGCGCATGGCCATGCACTTTCCAAGTCACATCAATCAGTGGGCCCTAAGATATTATACTTCATCAAAGAAGGGATAAATTCTATCTACGTCATTCACATCTTCTCTTAAGTTTCATTGCATACCCAAAACATAACTGTACATCCACCAATATTTCAGATGGCATAAATCATGTCTCAAAGTATACAACTCAACTTACCAAAGAATGTAATGACTTCAAGTCAAAGGATAGTTATACTAATTGTCGCATGAGAATAATATTAACAATTTAACTCAAACCCATATATTATTCTCATAGCGGGTCAATCCAGCAACATATCCAATATGGTTGCCTACGTATAGATTCAGATAACACTTTATCTATAGCCTATGAGACGCAGCTATCTCATCTCATACGTATTAGTCTTGATATATTATGATGTCCGTATTGTCATAATATTCGACTAAGGATATTTTAGACATAGCCTCTATCTTTATAACAGCCTCATAATTAGAAAGTCGTAGTTCTCATCCGTGTTACTAGAGCGCCTACTCTATGGACTAAAGCTATGTTTAAATCACACGAGACTACTTAAACAATCTTTAGGACCTATTGTTCTTGATATAATATAGATATGGAATCATAAGTTGACCTCTAGGCCTATCTTTAAAATCACACGAGACTACTTAAACAATCTCTACAATCACTTTTCAATACTTCCAATTAACCCAACCGAGAATCTTTACACAAAATGACTTGGGAATAAACCAAAAAAATAACCCCCCGTTATTGAGCAAAATCTGAATACCAATCACAGTAATGACTAACCAATTACAGACACTTAACTCCCAGCAAACACTTTTACCACGGAAAAAAAGCAAAATCCATCCCCAGAAAGGGCACTTGAACCAAAACTGCAACACCACGAATAAGAAATGAGTAACACAAATTGCATGCATCACCATCAATCTACCACCCAAACCCAATTTCAGTTATAAACAGCAACCAAAAGAACTTAGAATTCGAAACACTTACAGTTCCATCCCTCAACTTCACCAACATCCTTTTGTTAAAATCCTGAGGCGGCTCACTCACGAAGTCATTTTGCTCCTCCTCGACTATTCTCCTGGACACTAAACTCCCTACCATGGCTGCCAAACTCTTCTCGACTCAACGCGTCTGTTTTGCGGAAAGGAATTTCCCCAAGCCTAAATACCTTCGTACCACTGTAAATCTCTAATTACCCAAGGAAAGGAAATCTCTATGCAAATCGGGATTGGTTTGTTTCCTTCGCCGTTTGGAGTCTCCATAAACCTAGCACCGTAATAGCTGTCCCTCCCTTTTTTGTTTTTTTATGTTTTTTAATTAATAGCAGGGCATTATGGTCTATTCCCATCCCAAACGTAATGGGGAATAGCACCGGTGCTATTTGGGGAATCAAAACTTGAGAAGGTGCCATTTGGGTATTTTTCTCTAATAAGTATTTTAAAATTTTGACCTTAAATTATGAAAAAAAATACAAGAATTGTGATCTAAATTTAAAACCATTAAGTTTATTTTGAAACATAAGTTTTGAAATATCATATTTCTATAAGACGATCAAGGCTACTAGAGAGGCAGTGAAAAGTATGCAGATTGTGGACCTGGTACACCTAGAAGGAACTAGACTCCCAATTTTTTTGGCGTACTCTAATTTTGATGAAAAGGTTGTTGCAGCTTACCAAGCGGAGGAAAACATCCGCGAATAAAAATTTTAGTTCACTTTGGGGAGCCATTTTGGAATTAGAGAAATTAAGGGAGTTCAAAGGTTTGTTCTTTGTTCTTCTTGGGTCTATTGAACTTGGGTTAACTAGGGACACGCTTTGTTCTGCTTTGCTATTCTGGTTTTAGGGTCAAACTAGGGCTTGTTTGGGTACTTTTGGGATTTCTTGGTATTTGATGTTGTTGTGTGAGTTGTGGTAGACTCCCTGGAAACCAAGAAAACAGTAACAAAGAGCTAGGCCCTAAATCCTGGCCGAGTTTATACGGGGAGGAGCTAGATGTGAAGTAAACTTAAAGAGGAAGAGATAATTTTTGGGTTGTATTAGAAGCCAGCTCCAAGCTTTTGATATATTTAATACTTATTTAGTTTCTTTTGTTCTACTCTTCTGTCTTTTGCTTTGGCCAAAGAAACACATATATAGGACAGCATAGACCCAGGGTCAATCAATGCTAACATATCAGAACCAAAGAGAGTGAAAACATACCAAGTATGACGTCGGGATTAGAATCATCACGCCCTTGCATAGCATATTGTCCTCGGTGGAGCTCAGCCCTGCTGATGTGGTGCAGCCTGAGGCGGATGCTCCTACTAGGGTCACTGAGGTTGTGATCGGGCCGTTGAGCGCTGACTTTGGGCAGGTCGGGGAGCCGTCGTTTGAGTAGATGTCGCAGCCATAAGAAATTGAGGACCAGGGTTCGCAGGACAATCCCTCCTGAAATGGCCAGAGTGCCCGCATCCCATGCACAACCCCAAGCTCCTCCAGCACTCACCCGGATGGTTTCTTCCACATGTACCACACATCGGATGCTTTTGCGGTCTTGACTTGCTGCCAGACGCCGTAGAGTGAGCAGGCACTGATTTGGGCTTCTTCGATAACTCTATACCAGATCCACTCAAGGGTCTTTTCGTGGAATAGGCTTTACCAGTACTGGTCACCTGCATCGACAACTTGTTCAGCTTCTTCGCCACTTCTTTCTTTTCTCCCTCTTTAGTTCTAACCACCTCCCTATCCTGCTCGTACATGAGGCCGAAATCTTGCTTTGACGTCGTTGCCATACCTTCCAGGAGGTTCATGTGCATGCTCTTAATAAATTTGTCACAACGTATCTTCATGGTGTTCACTAGATCCTGGGCAAACTCCACTATGTGGTCGAACATCTAACGATAATCTGGCAGGCTCATGGTCCCCATCTAAAGATGCACAAATTCCTCACGCTTATCCTCCACGAATGACTCTAAGATATATTCCTCCTTGAACACCCGATTGAAGGACCCCGCGTCAGCTGGGGAGGATAGATAGTTTATGTTCCGAGTGGTACGTTTCCACCACTCGTACGCATTGCTATGCAACAACATCACCACAAGGTCTTCCCACTCGCCGAGGGGGCCCCTCAAATTCTCGAACACGTGTCGCACGCGCTCCATTTATCGGAATGCTACCAATGGTTTAACAATGTTTTCACCGAGAAACTCTTTGGCTCCATTCTTTCTCAGCTTCTCTAAAGTGACCCTTGGCTCGGGCTGTCTAGTTAAGGCGTTCTGATTCATAATAAGCATTTGTTGCACGAGCTGCATCATGAGCGCATGATCCACCTGCGGGATCCGAGCTGGTCCACCATTTGGTACTTCTTGATGGGGGGACGTTTTCATTCGCCATTTGATTTTCATTAAGTTGTCAGGGAGACACACTATCTCCCTCGGAGTGATTGTCGTTGATGTTCGTGTTAGGGTCAATTCTACAATTTATAGTTTACTAAGTTAAGCAAAAATTATCACATAACTACATAATAAGAATTTAAAATTACCTCCTAGAGTAGTGATGTCGTAAAGCTGTGGATGCCCAACGTAGGTATGTATAGTGTAATAGTTTTTTTAAAACATAAAATAGTTTTTTTGAGAGTAGTGTTATATTTATATTTATTTATTTATTTTTTTTGTTGATAAATTATTATTACTATTAATACTTAAATTGATTATCTGACCAATAGTGGCCCAAAAATAATTTTTAAAACCACATGCTCCGATACCAATATGTAATACCCAACTCGCGTGACCCGAACCACCATGTTAGCGAACCAGGTTGTTACTAAATTGGTATTCACATGCACAATTTCTTTTAAACATTTAAATAAATTTAACATCCATCCATAATAGTTTAAGCTAAACCAAAAGTTCATCGGAGTAATAATAATATAAGTTCAAACTTCGCGGAAGCTTAAGGAAAACCAAATAATAATGTTCAGACAGTCCATTTAGGGAGACAAATAATAACATAATTTAAATAATAAAGAAAAACTTCGGGCCATCCACGCTATCCGCATCACACCCTCTGGGTTGCTCATCCAATCCCGGGTTCCTACCTGCTCAATTTCAACATATTTTAACAAAATTGTATGTAACTTGGTAATTCAATTATATTAATTTTATATGAGAACTAAATATACTTTTCTTTCATAATTTGTAATTCAAATTTATAAAAGATTAATAAAAAATAGAAGATATTTATGAAGAAAAAAGTATAAAATAATATGAGGTAATAAATTGATGATAGATTAATAAATACAATATGACAAAAAATGAATGAATAATTAAATTTTAATTAAAAAATAACATATATGCAAATATGTCTGAAACCAAATGTACCCGAATCGAAATGTATTCGAAACCAAAATCGATTCGAATCAGTTGACATTTAAACCAATCCAAAATCGATCCAAAACCAAGAAAATGCATTGAACTCAATTAAATTCGAATCTAAGTTAAACTAAATCGATCCAAACCAGACCAATTATAATATATATCCCAAAATATCTCAACCCAATTATTCCAAAACCTAATGTATCCGAAACCAATAAAATGCATTGGTACCATTGCAAAGTGCAATTTTTTGACTTTTTGATGAAACATGGTGCGTTAAGATGAGGAGAAACTTAGAAATGATTCCAGTGGTGGATCCAAGAATTTGGGTTGATGGGGGCATATTTAGCCAGGGATCTCGCGGCAGCACCCCTGATTTTTTTAATAGACAAAATGGAATAATAAAAAAAGTCATTCTATTTTAAACAATTATTGAATGTAAAATATTGTTTAGTATGTACTCCGTAATATAAATCTTATTATAGAAAATAAAATATTTTTAATAAAATAAACTTTAATAAAATTAAACAAAAAATTAATAACCAGCTTAATTACATAAGATTCTATTAATTTTTGTAGGGGTACATAATTTTAGATGGGATCAACTCCAATTTAGATGGGGGCATGGAGTTCAAAGTATAGAATCTTACTATATACAATGCTAGGATGCACTTTTGAACAATGTTCCCGCCCATTTCATTGGGCTTAATTGGGCTGCCTCGGGCTGGGTATCGATTGCGCTGTTGGGCCATTTTTTTGAGGCTGTCATTGGGACGTGTTTTCAGAATGCAATTAATGGATTGTCATATCAATGCTTTTGAAATGATTAAAGTGGTGCACTCCTCCATAAAGTAGATTTAGAAAATGCGTGGCTCCGTAAAGTAAATTAAAAGGGTGCATGGCTCCATAAAGCAAATCAATTACAATCCAAGCTATTAATGCACTTATGCAGTTACACTGTGTGCGTATGTATATTTATAGAATGTTGTATTTACTTGGCTAAACACATCTCATTTACCGAAAAAAAAGTAGCATTCGAAAATTCACAACAATGGCTCTAGCTCCACAAAACAATTGCCGATCAATGTTTACTCCTATTTCCGACCTAGACAACACTAAAAAATCATGGATTCTCATCTTAAGGGTTATGCGCGTTTACTTTGTTCCGAGGTGGGCAAAAGGCGATGATTCCATGGAGATCATATTTCACGATGAGCATGTATCGTATTCCCCAAGTTTTTGTATTTTCTTTTCGAATTATTAAATCTAAATATCTCACGTACTTTTTTTTGAATAGGGAAATAGGATTCACGCTCATCCCAACTGACCGGAAAAAAGTAAATTTGAAAATCAAATCACCGAGGGTGGTGTTTTTGCCATTCGTAATGTGCTTGTTCATGACAACTACCAGAGTTTGAAAACCACTTCAAATGATAAGCTTTTGGGATTTTTCCAAGACACCGAGGTGAAAACTTTGTTTCGGCTGGATTTCCCAAGCTTCATGTTTGATTTGAAGCCATTTCCAGTTACTCAAAGCCAACCATGTTTGAATGATCTGCTCTTGATTGGTATTATTTTTTAAAAATATTTACGAGTAAAGATTATTTGTCAAAAGTCAAAATTATTCGGAATTCACGTTACCCTCTTTGTAAATCATGAAATATTAATGCAGACGTGATTGGAAAGATAGTTGCTCGAACAAGTGTTCAAACAAACTCAAAGAGAGGCTTGGAGCACAAATTGATGGAAGTTACCCTAGAAGATCATGAGTATGAGTTAATAATTACAGAAATATTTTTAAAATAAGAAATTGCACATTCGGATTTTGTTTATGATACGATATTATAGGGGAAATCGTTTGGGTTGCACACTATGGGGAGAATACCTGGACCGATTCATGGATTGTTTGACCCAAAACAACCAAGAACCAGTTATTATGCTTTTGAGCTTTTGCCGCCCGAGACGCTATATGGGTAAGCAACATATTTTTTTATTTCGTTCTTCGTTATTTGAACATGAACGAAACTTAATTTGTTTGTCCATGTTTTGTAGGGACTGTGACTGTCTCTACTTCATTTCATGTTACCAAAATGATTTTCGATGGTAATTCTCCCGAGGTTGAAACATTTAGACCAAGTTTATTCTAAGAAAAATAAACTACAAGCCTAAGAATTATCAAATAATTTTATTTTAACTTTATTTTAAAATTCCAAAATACTGGAAAAATCAATATTTTTGGAATATTTTCGAAATTTTAACTTTATTTTAAAATTCCAAATCTTCCAAAAATAAATATTTTCCAAAAAAAAAGTTTTTGACTCATGTAAAATCTGAAAACAAACTTTTCCAGATTTTACTTAAATTGATTTCCGGTACTTTCTATTTATTATTTGGCAATCCATAAAACAATTTCCAAAATTATTTTTCGTGTACCATAATTGTTCCAAAAATCATTATTCTCAGAATATTATGCTATTATTACCAAATATTAAATTTCCATAATTTAAAATTAATTATTTAATTTTAGGGAATTAAATACCGAATTACCAAAACTGTTTTTCCCAAAAATTAATAATTAAATACTTAAATTACGAATTCTAAAAATAGTATTCTCAAGTTCATAAAATTATAATCCCGAATTTTAATTTTCCTTTTCGGTTTAATCTATATTATTACCGAATAAGATTATTTAAATTCGGGAAAAATAGAAACTCAAAACCGAAAATTTATTTTAATTTTCCAGAGTACTTAAAATCATATTTTAACATTCCAGAAGTATTAAAATTATTTTTCATAATTTATTTTGTATTTAATCAAATTAACTACAAATCAACTAATACCTTACATATTAGAAACTAAATTCCGAAAATTAATTTTAAATTTCCAGAGCTCTTAAAATCACATTTGAAAGTCTCAGAATGATTAAAATTAGTTTTCCATAATTTATTTTGTATTTATCTTGTAATTAATCAAATTAACTACAAATCAAACAATACTTTATAAATTAGGAAATCAATTCCGAAAATTAATTTTAAAAATCCAGAGGTCTTTAAATCATATTTTAAAGTCTTAGATTTAATAAAATTTAATTTTAGAATTTTCGAAATATTTTAATTGGTTAAAATAGTTTTTAACCGATTAACCCGAAAAATGAAATAAATCCAAAATTTAATTCAAAAATCATATTTTCGAATTTTATAAAGTCAAGAATCATATTTTGGAACTTTCTTGAATTTTGGATAATTTTCGAAAATATATACACATATATTTTATTTTATCAATGATAAAAAACCCTAACGGCAATTAGATCTACAAAACTTATAATTCTCATAAGTCGGCTCCGATACCACTGTTGGATTCTACGCTTGGATAGGGCAGCGGAAATATAAAAATTTTGACGTCCAAATGTAGATCCACCCAGGACCTCTTATGATTATTATAAGTTATTGTTTAGAAATATACCTTTCTTGACGAACAAGCAACGATATGTGTTGGTTGATGGATTGATCCAAGAGCTAGCCACAAAAGTATATGACCTCCAGTTGAGACACACGAACAACGAAGAGTGTTCTAGAGAAAATTATGCTAGTAATTTTTCTCTAGAATATTTCTAAAATATAAAATATTTGGTGTAAAGTATTAAGAGAACAAAACAAATTTTTCTCTCCTAAAACTATGGTAGGGCCGAAAATTCCTTGTCTAAAAAGGGGTGAGATGATCTCCTATTTATAAGGAGCATAATCCCCATTCCTATTCCTAATAGGAATGTACCTTTTAGAGTTTAGGAAGGAAATCAAATGTCATTCCTATTCTACTTAGGAAATTTCTAAAATAATAAACAATTTATTATTCATATATATATATATCCGAATATATATATANAGTATCGATTAAATACTACAAGTGATAAGCGGTATCTAGCAACACATTATCACCCCCAAGTTATAGATTAAAGCTCTTGGAGCAATTCCTTCAACGACACATCCTATTTGTATAACCCTTATCCCTTTATCACTAATATCTTGATTTAACACAAGGTATGGGTGTGTCACCTTGTTAAAGTTAAATAGATGGTTTACTGATTCTTCAATTGACTTGTGGGATTCAAATAACATGTTTATTTGCGCATGGCCATGCACTTTCCAAGTCACATCAATCAGTGGGCCCTAAGATATTATACTTCATCAAAGAAGGGATAAATTCTATCTACGTCATTCACATCTTCTCTTAAGTTTCATTGCATACCCAAAACATAACTGTACATCCACCAATATTTCAGATGGCATAAATCATGTCTCAAAGTATACAACTCAACTTACCAAAGAATGTAATGACTTCAAGTCAAAGGATAGTTATACTAATTGTCGCATGAGAATAATATTAACAATTTAACTCAAACCCATATATTATTCTCATAGCGGGTCAATCCAGCAACATATCCAATATGGTTGCCTACGTATAGATTCAGATAACACTTTATCTATAGCCTATGAGACGCAGCTATCTCATCTCATACGTATTAGTCTTGATATATTATGATGTCCGTATTGTCATAATATTCGACTAAGGATATTTTAGACATAGCCTCTATCTTTATAACAGCCTCATAATTAGAAATTATGTAATCAATAGAAATTAAACAGAAACTGGTAAGAAATAAAATAAATATATACGGAGTGGTGGGTTTTAACATTTTACACACTATACGAACTCTTAATGTACTACTTATTTTTAAAAGAACAAGCCGTCCGGTAAAGTTGGAATTATTGTAGATAATGTTTTCTCAAATATAAGAAGTGATATGTTAATACTTTGTATAATGCGTAAAATATTAAAACCCACCCGTATATTTTTATTTTACTCTTACCAATTTCAAGTTAGTTTCCATTGATTACCTTATTTATTTTATTATTTTTGTATCATTTTAATTACATTTCTCATTTTTTTCATTTTTTATATCTGTTATTTTTATTTTTTAAACTAAGACTAATCTTTAAAAAAGGAAAAAGAAATGATGATGGAGGTAGAAAGTAATTTAAAAAATTTAAAGAAAAATTTTTAAAAAATAAAAAAATGAAAATTCATCAAAAATAATCCCAACTTTCATTTTGTTGCCTAAAACGGGCATTTCCGTTAACCCTCCGTTAGAAACTTAACGATGACCCAAAACTGGCAAATTTTAGTAAAGTTGGGATTATTATGCATCACAGTGAAAGGTGGGATTATTTTTGAAAGACCGGGTAAAGTTGGGATTATTTTTGGTAATTTTTCCTAATTAAAAAACAAGTAATATAAATTTTTTTTGGACAGCCTGGGCCTTATTAGATTCTCGGGGAGATCGCTTCACTAAATGATTCAAGTTATTGGTGCCACTTGGGTTGGACAGAGTGCAACAAAAAGGTCATTCCGGATGGTGATAAGTTCAAATGTTCAGGTTGTGCAGTTACCATACCGCATGGGGTGTATAGGTAAACAACTAAGCATTCGTACATGTTAAAAATAAACATATCACATATTCGGTAATATCCATGTAATTGGAAAAATAACCATGCTTCAAACTTTATTTAATAGGTACAAGGTCAGTGTTCGAGTCTATGATCACACCGGTCACGCTTCATTCGTACTTTGGGGCCGAGAGTGTAAAGAAGTCTTGGGTGCAAGTGCGTTTGTACTGAGGGAAATTATGCTTGAGGTTTGGCGAAAACTATAATTTTCAGTTTTTTAGTAATTATGAACTTAGTGTATTTCCCAAAAAACGAATTAAATTGTAATGTTATTCTCTTTTTTTCAGAAAGAGATGGACCCAAACTTCCTACCGCTTGAACTAAATCGCTTCCTTGGTCAGAAGGGTTTGTTCCATGTAGTGGTGAAGTCTGAAGTTGGGAGTCCAAGTTGGAATGGACCGAGAGCTTTTGGGGTGAGGTCTTTAGTTACCGACCCTACGATCTTGAGCAAGTATGAACATTTGGTTGTGATTGAAGATGAAGAAGCTGACAGAGAGAGTGAGTGTCTATGGGCATCTCTTGAGGATTTGAGCCAAAAGGTGCATGAAGTGGTAAGCTAAAACTTTAATAAGTATGTCCCCTAATACTATTTATTGTTATTACATTACTAAGATTTTTCATTCTCTTATAGATTGGTTCCAATGATCCAAGTTCTGGCCAGAGTGTCTGTTGGGAAAAATATTATAGATTTTGATGATGATGTATTTAGATTGTAATAAGGACTTTAGGTCTCCCCCAAATATTTAATGTAATTTTTTCTTTTTAGAAATATTGTTAAAACCGAGTTTTTGAGATTTCCAATAAAGATGTGATATTTTACTCTGTGGTTTGATGTCAATGTTTGGAGACTTAATCAAATTCAGTGATATGGAAATTGGATATCTTGATCGGATATGTCAGAGACAAGTAAGGAATTCTCAAAGCAGTTGATTACTTTGAAGATCTTCTATTCCGGAACACTACATGATAACCAGATGTATCGCTTCAAACCGATGAAGGCTAAGTCATCCATATCGGAAGACTAGCGCAGATTTCTTTCTCAACCGGAAGTTTGTAAATGACCTTTCCGGATTCGTCAGCAAAGAACAGGATGCCTCAAGAAAGACCGGAATTCTCAGAAGCGGACAAGTGAGATAAGGACTTAGAAAAATTATCTAAGTCTTGAATGAAGAAATTCTACCCGCTGGTAAGGAAAAATCAATCTCTTGATTTTCAATGGCTATATTGAAGAAAATTATGCTGATTCAAGAACAAATGACTTAAAGACAAAGTCTGGACATCTCAAGTTAAAGAGCTCGCCCAGAATTCCTAAACAAGCACTAAAAGACAAATTGAGTACTCCACTCAATAAAGAGTGACAGTCTAGAATTCTTGAACAACAGCTAAAAGACGGATTCTTTGAAAAAGGAATCCCTCCTCAAACAATTGGGTACGTCCAAACACCCATTCCAATGAAGAATCTTCAATCACAATCTTCATTCAAAATTGAAGCCAGCAAATGCAACGGATAGTCTATTTTTGATTCAACGGATAGATTATCCAATCCAGCTATAAATAGCTTCCTTAGAAGACCAGAAAAAAAAAGACATGATTGATCATCAACCTAACATCAATAAGAACAAAAGCTATCTCATTCATAGTTAGCCAAAAAGCTTGATAAAGAGAGAATTCTAAACTCCTTATCCAGAAGCAAACTTTTCCTCCTTCCAAAGAGCTATAGTGTAAACACTTGAAGCTTTCCTTGCCTCAAGTACAACACCACGTTGAAGGATACATCTTTTAATCAAACTTCTTGATTAAAAAGGGGGAACATCAACTTTCCTACAAGTTGATCTTGCAAGTCCTATTGTTCGGATCTTGCAGTTGTTGAAGAAGCTTGACCTTCGAAGGAACAACAAAGCCAGCACGAGTGTAGTAGCAACATTGGTCTTGCGAAGATATACCGTGCAGAAATTCACACAAGTGTAACTGTTGGTTCATTATTCAACAACCAATTACATAGTGGATTTTGAGGACGTTGAAGGATTACCCCACCTTCGAACCTCGTTAAAGTTTGCGTGCCTCTCTCTGTTATCTTTACTTATACTTGCAATTATATTAATTGTGAAAACTAAGGTTCACAAGAACTCTAGATTAAACACTCATTTTCACGTTTTCAAAAGAAACGAAAAAGTTTTTAATTTATAACAAAGTCTATTCACCCCCCCCCCCCTCTAGACTTTGTATCTCACGACTTTGGGACCACCAGTGTCAATACCAAGCCAAGAAGGATGCTCGATTTGGATCAGAGTGAAACTTTGAAGAGGGATCTATTTGATGAAATGTCAACAAGTGCTAGCAAGAAAATGAAGAAGGAAACTCAAAGAGACTGAACATCAAACTCCTTGGGACTGAAAAATCATTGTGATTTTGTATGTTTGAATACCCCACTTGTTTTTGTGATGCGGTTTGTTATGGTGTGGGTCAATTTCGGGTTTATGAACCTTTTTGTTATGGTATTGGATTTAACTTTTGAAACTCATGTTATTTTAAGTTTTTGTGGCATAAAAAATCTTTCACCATGCATTTCTAAATTACATACAATAAATTGGGAGATTTAGATAACGTGAACTAAATAAGCATTCCATAACACTGCTTAAATTAATATACTCACGAAAATATATGAGAATATGCTAACACAATATATAGCATAAAAGCATCAACATTACCACAAATAACCTGAATCACCAAACACAGAATACGAAATTAAAATTCTTTAATTCCTATAACTTTTATTAAAAAAGAATTAGTGATAGACCAAAGGGATACATCAATTGGGATTTTTTGTAGTGTCATTTATTACATTGAAAAGGGGCGTGTGGCTCAAGGTTAGCGGCTCAATTAGCAATAAATGTTTGTTTTTATAAACCAGCATTGAGAATGATTGGACACACTTATTTTTCGCTATTTGAATTTGTTGTACAACTCCATACGCATGGCCCATGATCTTTTAGTATTTATTCATAATATTCAAAATTAATTTAAAAATAAATTATTTTAAATATTCGTGAAAGTTCAAAAAAATGTGTAAAGAAAATCGAAAACTTTAAAGTTGTTTGGTTATTAAAAACACAATTAATGAATCACTTTGAAATTATTTTAATAAAAGATTAAGAACGTTTAAAATATTCAACTTCTCATGTTGTGAGGTTGCACTTTGTATTGAGTGGGATTTGGTATGAAAGACCTATTATGTTGCCAGAATTTAGAAAAATCGGGAATTGTTTTGGGTATGGGCCTGTAACACCCGCCTTCCGCGGACCCGGTTCACTCGCGACCCAACGGACCGGTAGGGTTACATGGGCGGTCCGAGAACCGTCCGTAGCGAAAAACATTAATGTCCATTTATTATGAAAACGGTTGTGTTTAATTGGTGAAATAAATGCTAGGGAGTTAACCCCAAGACGTGTGTGATTTAAATGCAGAGTAAAAGCGTAAGTAAATAAATAAGTCCAAAATAAGTAAAACGACATATGGTGGGTTCTTGCCCAAATGATTAATTGATTAAATATATTTAAATATTGAACTCGTCCGTGCGCCGCCCATCCTCCCATCATCACTGTCCTCCAGGGTTATCACATGTACCGTCATGACTACCTGTGTGTAGCAAAAACAACTACACGCTCAGCAAAAGCTGAGAAGTGAATCTAACAAAAGAACATGAAGTGATAACCCATATGATTATACACACATTAATACCTGTACTTAACATACGAAAAACCACACGTTTACTAACCTGTTCAATTTGCACTTGATGGGGTACTATTACACATAACAGAATGATATACCACCACATTGAATGTCGTTGTGACGTGGAACATACATGATGATAATATGACTTTATGCATGACTTAAACTATCAGGGACACCCCTGGCTTAGTCTCACTTGACAGGATCACCCCTGCACTCCGGGTGTCATACCGAAACGGTAATGAGTCGGGAACAAGTGGACTAGCAAAACCGGGTAGTAGCCGTAACCTGACTACTATGTACGTACACAAGGCCTACTTGATGAAAACCTGTTGGATCCCAAAGGTTCCTGGACGGGCCCACTGTAGTAGGCGCACGAAAGCCTGACCTCCCTACAGCGGTATGCACATGATGGAAAAACCTAAGACATGCGTCTAGGATGAACGTGATGAATGCTTGATATATTTACCTTTGATCAACGCCAAAATATATCAATTAAATAACATTTATAATGAAGATTAACATTTCATGCAAGATTACAAACCAATTCTGGGTCAATGTGGTCAACGGGGCTAGTTCCACAACCTGCCTGAAAATCTGCCCGAGGAACGGTCGACCGTACCCTACCGGCGGTCGACCGTGGGCTACGGTCTGGGTCTGGTACACAGACGGTCCACCTAGGTCTTCTGTCACGGCTGCCAGTCGACCGTCACGGTGGTGACCGTCGGATTGGCTAAGGGTACGGTCCACTGTCTAAAGCAACGGTCGACCGTCCCGGTGACAGTCTTCTGTCCTTGGCTGCGTTTTGATCCATTTTGAATACTTAACACCTTGATTCTTTTTAGAACAATAATACAAACATTGATGAATATATTCCTAGTAATTTCTAGGCAATTATATATATCAGTTTTACGTCCTGAACGTTTTGATGGCTAACCTACGAACATGCATAGATTCTACGTAAGTTGCGTACGATATACCTATGAATATAACGACATAGATTATAACTAAATGTTCTAGAATTAGAGGGGACAACTACTCACCTCTAATCGTAGGGGTTGAAAATACGAAGATGACGAATGAATCGACGAACGATGACTACGCTTCCCACGAACGACCTAGCTCTTCTTCTCCTTCTTCTCCTTCACCCGTGCACCCACCGGGGCTTCGCCGGAGATTTCCCTTGGCTGCTGGTCTGGCCGAACAAGAGGAAGGAGGAAGATGGATGGTGATGATGGAGACTTGATGATGAATTGGCAATGGGGGTTACAAAAATGGTGATGATGAGAATGGGGAGTATATCTTATAATGATGGTGAGTTAAGAGATTTAATGGGGAATTGAATTTGAGGAATGGAAGAGAATGGGCTGGACGTATGGAGGTTACAAATATTTATTTTACTCCGTTACGTAAAATCTGACCTGAACGGTACGTGCTTTTTCCCCCGAACGGATCCGAATTGAGATCCGTTTGCGTTTTTGGAATCAGACAGTCAAAATGAATTTAATGACATGTTCAAATAATTTTTCTAAGAACTTTTATTTTCCCCAATTCCGGTCCGGAACAGTAACTAATTAATCAAATTAATCAATTCTAATAGACCAGGTTGTAGGGCGTTACAGGGCCTGCGTTTGTATGGAGTCGAGATTTGCTATTTGGCCTTTTAATCGGCTATTGACGTGGTTATTTGGCTGTCCATGTATTTGGACAGCCCACACCTACACCGGCACGCTAACAGGGATCTAGCCCATTTAAAATCATTTAACCTTCATATAAATATCAATTAATAAATATAATATGAGATTTATTTCTGCTTTCAAAAATAATAAAAAAAATATTCCAAAATACATATATAGACATACACACACACACACACATAATTACGTAGTTGGAATGTGTGTGTGTGTGTGTGTGTGTGTGTGTAGGGGCTGGTTCAAGTGAGAATGCACCTTGGTGAAAGAAATAAAAATAAAATCTGGCCTTTGGATCTGATACATCGTGCGGCTCAGATTGCATTCTGCACTCAAATTTTGGGATAGTGCATTTTCAAAGGATTATGGTGCATTTTGACATGATGCATTTTCAAACCATCTTGGTGCACCTAATTTTGATGCAATCCTAACCCTTAGATCTCCCAATCTAATGCACCAGATTCATTCTTATTTCTTTCATTAGATTGCATTCTCACCTGAACCAAAATCTATATATATATGTATATGTATATATATATATATATATATATATATATATATATATATATATATATATATATAGACATATATATATAGACATATATATATATATATATATATATATATATATACACATACATACATACATAAAAAAAATTTATGTTTGAAGAACATATTTACATGTATATTAGTAAAAAACATTTTAGTGATATTAAATAGAAAACAATATAGTGAAAGAATAGACCTTAAGTATAAATCCACACGCCTAAGCATAGCATATCATTACGTAGGTACAAAGCATTAAATACAGCCCATGGACACTAACAGCCCACGCCTAGAGCCACACGCCCAGACAGCATATCAGGCCCAATAAATGACACTTACACATCACCTCTGAACTAAAATTAAAAAAAAGATTTCCCTCTTTAATTTTTAAAAAGATTCTACTAAACATAAATTTTATGCTAAAATGTGTCTTTAAAACTAAAAATATGTGAAGTTCAAAAAGATTTTTATGCTTTTTAGTTTCGTTTTTTTAAATATGCTACCTTTTTGAATTCAACTTTTGATTTAAATATATTCACATTAATGTTTTCGAATATATATATATATATATATATATATATATATTCTATGATTGTATGTTTCATAATATATATTCTTATTGAATTTTTTTTAAGTGCCGGAAACATATTTACATAAATATTAATAAAAAACATTTTAGTGATATTAAATAGAAAACATTTTAGTGAAAGAATAGATCTTAAGTATAAATCCACACGCCTAAGAATAGCATATCATTACGTCGGTACAAAGCATTAAATACAGCCCATGGACACTAACAGCCCACACCTAGAGCCACACGCCGACTGCAGATCAGGCCCAATAAATGACACTTACACACCACTGTTGCACTAAAATTTAAAAAAGGATTTCCCTTTTTATTTGTAAAAAAGATTATACTAAACATACATTTTATGCTAAAATGTGTCTTTAAAACTAAAAATATGTTAAGTTCAAAAAGATTTTTAGGCCTTTTCGATTCGTTGTTTTTAAAATACGCTACCTCTTTGAATTCGAATTTTGATTTAAATATACGTACATTAATGTTTTGATATATATATATATATATATATATATAACATAATATATATTCGTTTTAAATTTTTTTTTAAATATATATTCATATTGAATTTTTTTAAAGTACTAGAAACATATTTACATAAATATTAATAAAAAAACATTTTAGTGATATTAAATAGAAATCAATATAGGGAAAGAATAGACCTTAAGTATAAATCAACACGCCTAAGCATAGCATATGATTACGTAAGTACAAAGCATTAAATGCAGCCCATGGACACGGACATGGACATCCCACGCCTGGATACACTACCCGACAGCAAATCCAGCCCATTAAATGCCACTTTCCCATCACCCAATAACTAAATTAAAAATTAATATTTGAAATAAAGAATTACCTATTTTTATTTCATAATAAAATAATATTAAACTTAGGTTTAATGCAAAACAAAATTTGCATGTAAAATTAAATTAAGATAAAAAACTTATTACTAAGAATTTAAAATAAGTTTTTATTTTTAATTCGAAATTTGTTTTATATATATCTACATAGAGGAAGTAATTTTATTTCTTGAAAAACATTAATACATGGATACCTATTTTTATATTTAAAATAAAATTTTGATAGATATATATGTGTGTGTGTGTGTGTGTGTATGTGTGTGTGTGTGTGTGTGTGTGTGTATATATATATATATATATATATATATATATATATATATATATATATATATATATATATATATATATTTGTCTGACAGTGTTATAATAATATTAGAAATTCATATTTAAAAAATAATAATATTTAAGTGTCATTAAAAAAATATAAAATGGTTCAGTGAAAAAATTTAGAGAAATTCACGTTAAAATAATGCAGTGAAAAAATATATTATAGCTGTGTACATCCAAACCCATAGACCTAGCATAGGTCTAATTAGGTTACATGTATTAAATACACTATAAATGACTACAAGTCTTTTACTACTTCCCTCTTCTTGGCTCATTTATTTCTAATCTTCCCAACCAACAACCACATTGAAGTTGAGCTTGAGTAATTCTATCTTCTTTTCATATATCCATTTCTAAGGTTAGTAATTCATTACCCTCTTTTTGTTCCTTATTGAATGTGTCCCAAAAAAAAATATTTTCCAATTATGATAAAAATTCTTTGGAATCTAAGCCCCCGTGAATGTTTGATTTCTGCCTACCTTCGAATACCGGAATAATACAATTCTCTAAAATTCTACTAATACATGAGATGACTAAGAAAATAGCTCTAATTAAGATTATTATGAAATTTAATATTCCTAAATTAACCCTAATGATATTGGTATCAGGTTACCTGTGATGGCTAAGTCATTTGGGATGAGAAAGCTTAGCAAAAACCAGAGGATCAATCCATTTCTTCATTTCGAAGATGAACCACACAAAGGTGACTTTAACACCTATGATAATTTGTTGAATCGATTAACATTGATGATCTGAAATCAATAGTGTGTTTGTATGATAGAAAATAGAAAATATAGAGTCAAAATGTCATATTCATTAGCGAGACAATCAGGAATGACCTTTTTAATACTTAGGTAATAATAGTTTGGAATTACCTTTCTTAGTATCAGACCCTCAGGGAATCATGTCTTTAGAACTCATTTCCTGCCATAAGAAACTGGTAATGTGCCATTTAGCCTTTATAATGCTCAAACCGTAATCTGAACATGAATATTGAGGTCTAATGACTATTTAAAACAATGATATCTACTGCCTATAAGAGAATATGAATACTGTTTTTATAAAAAAATTATATCATTACTTTTTATCTCATATTGGATACAGATATATAAACATATATATACGTATATACCATATCCAAAAATGTATATATTCGGGGTTCATATATGAAATATTAATGAGTACTATGTAAAATCTTTCTACGTACTAATAAAATTAATCAAGCGAGATGGTAAATCTAAATTATAATTATTTTTAGCATAAAGGATATGTGTTAAATATATAAAATATATTTAATATTATTAATTATGATTTGTTTCCATAATTATATAGCTTTCCTAGAATACCTCTCCTACCATAACTAGGATTGAGAAGTTGTATATATATACTTGTACTCTTCACATATTTATTCAATGAAAATACAATTCTTCATGGTATCGGAGTCTCACTAAAAACCCTAAAACTTTCTCCCCCAAGTTTCGGCCTCCTCCTCCCTTCGCCGAACAGCAGCGTCGCCCCCCCTCCTCCTTCTCCTTCTCGGCCGGAAGCTCTTCCACTCCTCTACAATGACCGACAGCGAGGTCACGTCTCAATCCTCCACCCAAAAACCTCCACATCTGGATTTCTCCGTCTCCAACGTCAAACTCCATGTTCCAATTCAACTCAGCTTTTCTCAACCAAACTATAAAAATTGGAGTCGCTTGTTCCTTCTCTTCGCACGGCGGTTCAATCTTCAGGGTTATCTCAACGGCTCTATTGCTCCCATCTCCGACGACGACGACGAATGGTTCCAACTTGATGCCATTCTCCAGGGATGGATTCTCTCCACCATCACGCCTGAGGTTTCAGATCACGTTCTCTCCTCTGTCGCTACTGCTTCTACTCTCTCGACGGTGATTCATGATTTGTTTCATTTCAATAAACATGCTCGAGCCATGCAACTTGAGCATCAATTTCGCACCACCGTAAAAGGATCTACCCCCATGGCCACATATTGTCAAGAGCTCAGGAACATTGCAGATTGGCTAGATGACGTTGATGCCCCCGTGTCTGAGCACCAACTAATACTCCAGATGTTGCGCGGCCTCCCTGACGATCTACAAGCCCAAACTTCGTTTCTCCAGTTTCAGGATCCCATGCCGAGTTTTCTCCAGGTGCGGTCGGCCCTCCTCCTTCTTGATCGGAAGCGGACTCCTTTGGGCGGAACCAGCAGCACGGCGCTGCTGGCGGGTCGGGACGCTGGTAGCTTCAGCAGCAGCCAGCACGGCGGGGGTGGCAGCCGCGGCCCTCCTCACTGCGGCAGTGGGGATCGTTTCATTGGCAGCAACTTCGAAGATGGCTCCTCCTCCAGACAGCGTGGGAGCTTTGCACGCGGACAAGGGTGGCAACGGCAACTGGGGTCGAGGGCGCTCAAACGGAGGTTCGAGACAACGGCCACCAACGGATGTCCAAAGTTCCTGGAACTCACCCTACCCAAACCCTAGCCCTGGGGTGTTGGGCCCCCGGCCCACACCCGCCCCCTACCCGTCACCCTACCATGTTCATGCCTACTACACACCCGCCCAACCCCTAAACCC